GAGGTGTGGTGGCACGTCACTGAACGACAATCTCATCACCGGGCCAAACAATCTGAACTCACTCGCCGGTGTGCTCATGAGGTTCCGACAGGGCCGCGTGCCGATCGCGTCTGATGTGAAACAGATGTTTCACCAGATAGCCGTCCGTGCTGAGGACCGACAGGCACAGCAGTTTCTCTGGCGTGATATGGACATGACGAAGGAGCCAGAGACGTATCAAATGAACGTGGTCATCTTTGGTGCAAAGTCATCACCAAGCACGGCCACCTACGTGCTGCGACGGTGCGCAGAAGACGGCAGAGACAAACACCCTCGGGCGGCCGACAAGATCGTCAGCCGCTTCTACATGGACGACTACCTGGACTCCGTCGACACCGAGAGAGAGGGACGGGAGCTGGTCAACTCGCTCAACTCTCTGCTGAGCGCCGGCGGCTTCCACCTGACAAAATGGACGAGCACGTCAGACGTGGTGCTGAAGGACGTGGCGCCTGAGGACAAGTGTGAGGAGTCACGCGACCTTGACCTGACTGGTGAGAACAGATGGATGAAGACGCTGGGCGTTCACTGGTGCGCTCAGGATGACCAATTCAGGTTCAAGGTCAAGAAGGTCGACAGTGGGAACACCAAGCGTTCCATCCTGAGCATCACGTCAGCAGTGTTCGACCCGCTGGGCATGTTGGCTCCGTTCATTGTCCGCGCCAAATGTCTCATCCAAAGGATCTGGCTCGGCGGATGGGACTGGGACGAGGCCATCAGCGACAGTGAACTCCTCGCTCAGTGGCACAGCTGGCAGCTGGAGCTGAACGACATGGACCGTGTACGAGTGGGCCGCTGTTATCGCCCTGACGACAGAGCAGCCATAAACTGTCAGCTGCACGTGTTCGGTGACGCCTCTGAGAATGCGTTTGGTGTGGTGGCGTATCTGCGGTTCGAGCTCGAGGACGGCACCGGCCACTGCAGCTTCGTGATGTCCAAGGTGCGCGTCGCGCCCATCAAACAGCTCAGCATACCTCGGCTGGAGCTGCAGGCCGCTGTCATGGCCGTCCGCGTGGCTGACACCATCAAGGCCGAGCAAGATATGGCCATCCACGAGACCGTCTTCTGGAGCGACTCGTCCACCGTGCTCCAGTGGATCAACAGTGAGAGCAGGCGGTTCAACACCTTCGTCGCAAACCGCATCGCCGAGATCCAGGACGCCTCGGATGTGACTCAATGGCGACACGTGCCAGGGCCACTGAACCCAGCGGACATATGCAGCCGAGGCTGCTCGGTGGCGGAGCTGGCACCCGGCGGAGTGTGGGTTCAAGGTCCCGCCTTCCTGTGGCGCCGTCCCCAGGACTGGCCCGCCGCGCCGCCCCGCCCGACAGAGCGCCGGAGAGACGAGGAAACGGCCGAAATGAGGGTAACAGCCTGCGCCACTGGGGCAACGGAGCCGGTCATAAACCCCAGCCGGTTCTCATCATGGCTCAGGCTGCTCCGTGTGACAGCGTGGGTGCGCCGCTTCGCTCACAACAGCCGCAGCCGAGCGACTGCTGATCGGCGGACGGGACCGCTGACTGCGGAGGAGCTGAGGGAGGCTGAGCGTGTCTGGCTGCTCAGCGCACAGGCCGAGCAGTTCGGCGATGAAATCGCAGCTCTCCAGCACGGAAGGCGGCTTCCATCGAACAGCCGCCTGCACCAGCTGACCCCCTTCCTGGACTCGACCGGCCTTCTAAGAGTGGGGGGCCGGCTCCGACACGCCCAGATGGACTTCGAGGTCAAGCACCAGGTGATTCTACCCGCACGCGGAGACGTCACTCGGCTGATCATCATCGACCGACACAAGAAGCTCGCCCATTCTGGCGCGGAGCACGTGCTGACCCACCTACGGCAGCAATTCTGGGTCGTCTGTGGCAGAGCCGCAGTGAAGCGGTACACACGTGCCTGCATGCTGTGCCGGAAACGGACAGCCCGGCCAGCGCCGCCGCTGATGGGTGACCTACCGGCCTTCCGAGTGGGCGAGCCGGCCCCGGTCTTCACTCGCGTGGGAGTGGATTTCTTCGGGCCGCTGATGGTGAAGAAGCAGCGCAAACGAGAGAAGAGATATGGCTGCCTGTTCACCTGCCTGTCAACTCGAGCAGTCCATATCGAACTGGCTCACTCGCTAGACACGGACTCGTTCATTATGGCTATGCGACGAATGATGGCGAGACGGGGCAACGTCAGCCTCGTGTGCTCGGACAATGGCACAAACTTCCGTGCTGGTGAGCGGGAACTGCGGCAGGCGCTGCAACAGTGGAACCAGACAAAGATAGCAGACACGCTGTCCCAAGAAGGAGTTGAGTGGAGGTTCAACCCACCAGGAGCACCGCACTTCGGTGGCGTGTTTGAGCGCCTGGTCCGCTCGGCCAAACGCGCACTGACGACCGTGCTGGGAGACCAAGTCGTGGACGATGAGACGCTTCGTACGGTCGTCACCGAAGTAGAAGCGCTCCTGAACGGCCGCCCGCTGACCTACATCAGCACCGACCCGGGCGACTACCAGCCACTCACGCCCAATCACTTCCTGATCGGGCGCGCGTCTCCCCAGCTGCCGCCCGGCGTGTTCGTCGACGGTGACCTGTGCGGCCGACGGCGCTGGAAACATGCTCAGGTGTTAATCGACCACATCTGGCGACGCTGGCGACGAGAATACCTCCCGACGCTCACCACGCGGGTGAAGTGGCGCGCAGACACGGCTGGCGTACAGCTCGGTGATTTAGTGCTGGTGACAGATGACAATCTGCCTCGCGGGCACTGGCCCGTGGGGCGAGTGGTGAGCGTGTTCCCTGGGGCCGACGGTCGAGTGCGGGTGGTAGAAGTGGCCACTGCCACTGGTCGTTACAGGCGGCCAGTCTCTCGTCTCTGCCGTCTCGAGTGCGATGGTGACGGGCAGTAAATGGACTCAGGGGGATAATGTGTGCGCGAGTGGGGCGACTAGCGAGTCTTTTACGACCACCGTGTGCCGCTGCCGAGCAGCGTCGGAGTCTGGACATTTGTGAGTGTTAACTGCGTCCGTCATTCGTGTTAGGTTGACGTGTGCGTGTGTGAGAATGAGCCGCTCATTCTGTTTGCTGTCACTGGTCAATTGTCATTTGTGTTTGGTGTTTAGCCATTAGCCAACAGCCGTGAGCCATCCGACAGCCCTAAGCGTTCACACTGTCGCAGTGTCGCTCCTGGCTCAGTTAGCCGGTCGGCCCTGTACGAGCTAGTAGTTTACGACCTTAGAGTGTAGCAGCCTTAGATTGGGACCGACGCGCGGCGCAACCGATGTAGTTTACAGCCTTAGCTTTAGCGCTCGTTTATTGCTGTACGATACGGACGAAGATGCTGCCTGCGAGCAGCTGTTTGTTGTTTCGTTAATGTTTTCTCTCTTACGTTTAGAATTTCCGCGAGCGACGCGAAAATTCGGGCCGGCCATGTTCGAGAGAAAACGTACCGTGCCGCACAGCGACGGCAGCGCGCGGCGGGCACGGCCGAGCCCCGCCGTCCACGTGGTCCTCTGCAGGGCCTGGGGGGTCATCTGGAGCACATGTGTGCTGACCGGCCCCAACGCGCCGGGCCGGCCGCCGCCGGCCGGCTCGGCAGTTCGCGGCGATACGACGACGACGGCGCGGCTCCGCCGGCGCAACGGCGCCGGCGTCGTACGATTCGATTGAGGTGCAGTGTGTGACGAGTAATCCAGAAATAGACATTCATCAAAGAACTCTTTTGGTCCTCCGGGTAAAGAAACGATACGATCAGCTACGCAATTCTTAGTGAACTGGACGATTACATGAACACTTTGGTCTGCCGTGCTGGGTCAGAGTAAACGACCACGAATCACACGAACAGTTTTGTTGTTGCCGATGGTATTATTGTTTGTGCTTGCCTAGTTGTCTGTTGTTGGTGTCATGCAGTGTTTCATTTTTCAGCCTTTTTGGTGGCAAATCACACCTAATGGGGAAAATATTTTCATCCCTAAAATATGAATGACCGACTTTACTTCATCTCTGAAAAGAGTTTCATGTATTCCGAATCCCAACAGCCAGTTCACTTGTCACTTGACAGTTGATGCACCCACATCCTTTTGTTCCACACCCTGTCAAGATCCTGACATGAAATCCTGTGGTTTATCAGTTACCATAAAGATTGGCATTACACCATTTGGCAAAAATACTGCAGTTATTTAGGCCTTCTTTTTTCTCATCCTAGGATTTTTTTCTTCATCGGCACACCCAACCAATATCCAATTTTAGAACACTGGTGTCATGGCTGACTCTGTGTAGTGTCATCTTTGATGTTTATCTTTATTTGCGCCAGTACCTACTTACTTGCCCGTTTCTCTTTCGTGATTGTCTCTTTCGTCTGTGTCAATGTGTCCGTGTAATTACTGGCGTCTGTGTCAGGTTTGGTATCAGTACCAGACCTAGTGTCTACGTCTGCACCGGCGGCGGGAGCGTCGCGGCACGATCAGCTGATTGATGAATGGCCGATAGTGTATCAGGCGCACACAGACTCGGCGGCGGTCGCCGGGTCTTATAGCCGTCACCAGAGTGGCACGTGATACTACTCGAGCGGGTGATACGTGTCACGTGGGAGCGGCTGCCGCAGGCATGTGTCATCGCCTTGTCATTGGCGCGGTAAACTGAGTGACTTATCACGCCGGTCATGTGATGGTGGTGGGGAAACGCCACGTGGGTCGGGGGACATGAAACTGAACATCACAATGAACATAACATTCAAGGCTCCCTCGTATTATGTGCAAGACTTTCCGTTTAGGAACAAGGCTTTCCGTTGGGAAGGGTATTTTTTAACTGACCCATGCCCAGTTACCTGACCTGTCACCCAGTGAATGGCTCATCCCCCAGTACGTGGCCTGACCTGTGACCCAGTGACCTGAACCGTGCCCCAGTGACCTAACCGGTGACCCATTGACCTCACCATCCCCCAGTGACCTGACTGGCTACCCACTGACCTGACCTCTCCCCCTCTCTCCCCAGCGCTGCCAACAGTTGCCCGGCCAGTCCGCGCGGCGGTGTCGGTGGCCGGCGACGGACCGCTGCCGACACGCTGGTTCAGGCGGCCTACGTGGTCCACTCGAACCAGCAGAGGCAGCGGGCGCATCACCTGGCGGCGGCGGCGGCGGGCGTGGAGCAGTACCAACTGCCCGGCAGGGAGAGGGAAGGTGAGAGAAAGGAGGGGGAGGGGGAGAGAGAGGGGGAGGAGAGAGAGATAGGGAGAGAGAGAGAGAGAGAGAGAGAGAGAGAGAGAGAGAGAGAGAGAGAGAGAGAGAGAGAGAGAGAGAGGGAGGGAGGGAGATGAAAGGGAGGAAGGAAAGGATGAGACAATAGATCAGCATCAGCGTATTTTTACCCTTTACGCTACATCTTCTAGTGATATGTAAATATCCTGGTTCAGTTGATGGGCCTTATCGCTTTTATACGTGACTTATAACGTGACTTGAATTGTTTTACAATTGTCCAATATCTGGTATTACAATGCGTGAGATGTATCGCCTCTATTGTTGTCCCGTTCTCCGAGTTTTGCGCCACGAGGTCATTTCTCAGGAGTTTTAGTATCCTGGTTTTACCACGAGCGCTCGTATTATGTTTTGACACGATCCACAGCATCTAGGTACACGGGATTGTATCGTGACTTGAAACTTGTTAATACCGTGTTTGGAAACGCGGAAATGTTTTGATTCAGGTGTGCTGGTTGAAGTAAGTTTTTTGCCAGCTATGGTTAGCCATTTTATTGGGTGAATACCAGAGAGGTCACCCTCCCCCCTCCCAGTGTGTAACTGCGCCCACAGCCACTGACCCCCCCCCCCCCCCCCCCCCTCCGCAGAGATGACGCTGCACTACCACCAGGAGGAGCCTCTGCAGCACCACAGCTACAGTAACGGCGCCACGGCCACTGCCGTGGTCACTGAGGATGCTGTACGCGTGGTGCCCCCGTCGGGTGGCTCGGCCGGCCCGCCGTTCCCGGCGCCCACAGCCACGCCGGCGTCAGTGGTGGCCGCCACGGCGCCGCCGCCCCGCTCCGGCAGCCCCGCCCGGGTGAGTGGGCGCCGATCGAGGGGCGGGGTGTGTGTGAAAAAGTAGCATTTTTACTGGACCGTTTTCTTCCTTTTTATTCGCATTATTTGATTTTATGAAGACTTTGAAGTCTGATTGATTGATTCGTTCATTCATTCATTCATTCATTCATTCATTCATTCATTCATTCATTCATTCATTCATTCATTCATACATACATACACTCACTCACTCACTCGCGTATTCATTCATTCGTTTATTCATTCAAATATTATATGCCTTAGAGTTTTTTTTATATATGCTTTATAACCATTGGTGTCGATCTAATGCAATAATTGTAGTGAATGACTTATGTGCTCCTTCTCAACCTTATTTTCTCGACGGTCCTGTCTAGCCTGACCCCGTATGCACCTTCTATGACCCCGCACGACCCCTTTCTGACCCTGTCTGACCCGTTTTGCAGCAGGCGGAGGGCAAGCCGCCGTTCTCGTACGCGCAGCTGATCGTGCAGGCAGTCTCATCAGCCAGCGACAAGCAGCTGACGCTGAGCGGCATCTACGCGTTCATCACGAAAAACTACCCCTACTACCGCACTGCTGACAAGGGCTGGCAGGTGGGAATCACTACCGTACTACTAACGTGTTAGGTTGTTACAGGGGTAGTAACGGTACTACACGCATTGCCGCGGACGTGTGGTGACTGGTGACAAGGGTAGTAACGTTACTACCCTAAGGGATGGCAGCACTACTGCGCTGTGAATAGTTTTGGCCGGCTCTGGCAGATGCCATCATTTGTACCCTTATTGTGTGGTGATTTAACGGATAAATGTGGAACACTGATGTTTGACTCCTATGGTAACGGTCGTTGTTGTTGTTGTTGTTTTTTTTAGCCAGTTTTGTGACTTCGGATACAAATATAGTAAAGTTATGCTGTAGTAGTGGTATTGTTTTGCTTTCAATATACAGTAGATTGTCCTAGCTCTAAATTTTATGCATGATTGAAAAGCCCTCTTGAGTCGCGATTGAATCGCTTAAACTTCATGCACGATGGATATATTCTGAGCAGGCTTGTGTTTTGTGAAACTTTGGTAACATAAACGAATAGTCCAAGGAATACTAGGTAGTTAGTTTGAAATTTTCATAAGACAAAGGTCAAGTGTAAATCAGTATGTGTAGTCAAGTTTGTCGATATACTGAATGGTCCCAAAACATTCCGCATGTGTGTGTGCCAAAGCACCACAGTTGAATGCTGCATGTGCTGCTGCACTTGTCACCACTCGATTCACTCTGACGCGATAAACCCCATATGAATAACTCCCTCCCCTCCACCCCTCTTTTCACCAGAACTCGATCCGGCACAACCTATCTCTGAACCGGTACTTTATCAAAGTACCGCGCAGTCAGGAGGAGCCCGGCAAGGGCAGCTTCTGGAGAATCGACCCGGCCTCGGAGGCCAAGCTGGTGGAGCAGGCCTTCAGGAGGAGGCGTCAGCGTGGGGTGCCCTGCTTCCGTACCCCGGTGGCCGGGTTCGCATCAAAGTGAGTGGTTAGGGGAGCGGAACGGGGGGGGGGGGACTGGTGAGGTGGCTGTCGTTTGAAGTTCTGAAGATTGTTGTGGCCGGTGGCCGATAAGATGTTTTTAGGTTGAATGAAGCCCTGGTAGTTATTGCTCTGTGCTGGGCGATTATAGGAAAAGGAAATGGTTTTGAATGCTTGGTCTAGGACGTTGGGTGTGTCGGGTCTTTGAGATAGTTCTAGTTCTATAGTTAATTACTGCCTCTTGTTAGTTACGCTTGTTAGAGGTCGTAATGGCTACCTCCAAGAGCCTTAAGTTACATAGTTACACTTTGAGATAGTTTTAGTGTAGTTCCTTCCCAGTTGAACCTTCAAGGGTGAGTGCTGCTGGATCGTATCGTTGTTGTTCGGTGATGGCAGTGACGCTGTGTTGACAATGATCACTCCGATCATCCTCGTTTGACTCTCTGTACCCTGCCTGTCTCCAGGTCGGCCCCGGCGTCGCCGACCCACCTATCTTCTGGTCTGGCCACGCCGGACAGTCTGTCCCGCGAGCCGTCTCCGGCGAGGGACACGCCACCACCGGCCCCGGCCGCGCCCAGCCAGTCGGCGCCCGGATCACCGCATCACTACACTAGCTATGGTGAGAGAGGGAGGGAGGCGCCGGGGTCACTGTACGGGGACCCGCAGTTGCTACTGTACAGCGACCCTGAGTAAATTGTCTCAGCACCCTCACAGTGAACAAAGATAAGCTGTCAGAGGGCACGCACAGAAAACCTCAGCTGCTCTTGTATAGGGACCGGCAGTCGATATCAATATTATCGGTTGTTACTGGACAGGACAGACGGCTAGAGTTGGGGTTCGTGTACAGTAGCAACTGCGGGTCCCCGTACCATTTACACTTACTACGAAAGGGGGGAGGGACGGCTGCACTACATTGCTACACTAGCTACAGTTTAACCATGTACCGAGGGGAGAGGGACGCATCATCACACCAGCAGTCTGCTACGGTTTAGACTAGGAGGGAGAAAGGGAATGCTCAGTCATTTGCTCCGAACATTCTTGAACTATTTTATATTACCAAACAATTCGCAACTTTGTAACTGCTGGCGCTGCAAGGCAAGTTATATCTATATAGGCTACACTGCAATAATATTTCACAACGCTTTTTTATTCTATGATTGATCGATTGTTTCGCTGACTTATTTCTTTAGTGAGATGAGCTATCATCGTACAGACAGGACCAAATACATGTGCTGTGTCTGTGTTTCATCGATGGAACGACCTTCATGCTAATGCACAGAGACCAAACTGAGTAAATACAAGCCAATTCATATAAACACGATTGAGATACGCAGGCTGTGTACAATATATACACTGCACGGCAGTGTTTAAAGGAAACAGTTCACTTTCCTGAAATTAGTATTTTGCTATGGATTTACGATTTTTTATGCTCAAAATGATCAGAAAATAAAGTAAAACCTTTTTGTAAAAACAATTATTTTCTATATTTTTATATAGGATGAACTATATTCTATGTAAAATAATGTTTGACGCGGAAGCTTATTACGCGTTGACCAATCATATTGCGTAGTTCAAACCTACGCGCTGTAAGCAGCATGCTGATTGGCTGACGATGACGTGGCTGCATTCCTGTGCAAGGCACACATTCTTTTTTTTTTTTTGAATTTGAAGTATATTCAGTTTTAGATTACGATTCAAATCAAAGAGGATGCCAAAATAGTTTATATAGAATTTTATCGCAATATCACAAATCACAATAGGCCGCTGGCTAGAGTTGTCCGAGCAGAATGTGCGCCGGTCGGTGTGACTACACAGGGCCCGAGCGGGTGACGATCGCAGGCTCCTCTCCCGTGACTGGATGACTAGACGTGGGTCGAGCCGGAGCGGTGTTTCGAGCCGGCCAGCTCAAAGAACAGCACGTAAGCCTTTCCGCTGTTGACGTTTCTCTGGTCCATCACGTGGACCCGCGAGTCGTTGTACTCGTACCACTCTGCCGTGTACGGGTGTCGGCAGTGAGCGGTGTAATGTCCTGAGAGCAGCGTGCCAGAGTGGTTCGCCACGCCGTATAGGCTGTACCGGCAGGGCGTCTGTCCGGCCGAGTAGGGCGACAGGTCCAGGCCGTTCACCGAAAAGTCGACAGTGGTGTTCAGCTTCCCGCGGAACCTCTCCTGCGGCGAGAACCGCTTCAGGTGGACCACCAAGATACGAGGGAACTTCTGGATCGAGAGGCTCCTGGTGCACTTTTGGCGCTTCTGGCACTTTGAGCAGGTCGGTTTTTCGTCGCCATCGAGCACCTCCTCTTTGGTGAACAGGTCAAAACAGGCCTGTAGGCGCACCTGGCCACTTCGTGACGGGATTGGCAGACTCAGATCCCAGAACGGGTCGAAGGTAACCGATGCGTGGCCACATACCGTGCACCGCAGGGTAGCCTTGAGCTGGCCCACGAACAGGTCAACAAACTTGGAGTTTTCCAGGCGCAAGAAACGTTTCCAGGCCTCCATTGACTTTTGACTGGCGCTCAGTGAGTCGTCGATGTCGGTCGTGATCGGCTTTGGCCGGCTCGTCACCCGGTTCACGTCCTCGTGAAGTCCCTGCAGCAGATATCTGAGGAATTCCTGCGCGTCCTGCTGCTGAGAGCCCATGAAGCGTGGCGCGAGCCGTTGGATCATCGACTTGAGTGGTGCGGTGGTGAGCACCCGCTCCGTTTCGTCCGAGGATGTCCACATGTCGCGTATCAGGGCGCTGAATGTGTTCATGAGGGACCCCTTCGTAGCGGCGGCAGGCATGCTGGCATCTGAGGAGCGTCCATCGCGCAGGATGTAATCGTGGAGAGCGCGTGTGTTGCTCAGGCACTGGACGACTGTGTTCAGGAAGCAGGTGTTGCCCGTGTTCCTGAGGCCGGTGAGACCGAGCGGTCTGCCGTCAGATTCACTGCCAGTCCCGCCGCCGTCTTCGCTGGGGTTGCCGGGCAGTGAGTGGTGAGACAGTCTGGTGTTGGGCGGTGCAGAGGCCTCCTCCGACGGGAGTGCCAGCGGCTCGTCAGCTAAGAACTCGGGTGAGGCCTGCCTTGCTGTCTGTTTAGCTGAGGCTCGGCCGGTCGTCGCAGACGGAGGAGGCGAAGGCCGGGTGCGCACCCCTGTCATGTCTGGTGGTGGCTGCTGTCGGCGGTCTGCCCTCGCCCGGTCTGTGGCGGCTGTGGCGAGAACCGCGGCGGCGTTGCCTCCCTCTGCAAGGCACTCTTTTCGGAACGAGAAATGGAATATCTTCGTCTAGGGTGATCGTTGAGCCGTAAAAGCTCCTGATTTGTGCTAGTCTCAGCTCAAGCTACGAAACTGCTATTCCAGTTCAAAATCCCATGTTAAAAGTGAACTATTTCCTTTAATTCGTATTGAAACGGAGCGTCTCAGCCGTTTGAAAACTATTCCATTAGCGTGAAGACTAGCTAGGGTCTCGTGAACTCAATCATCCCACCAATAGCTCTAACATTTTCTCTATCTCTTTTTCAGCCAATTTTTCGACGTACCAGCCTGCTACCGTGATCGTCAGCTCAGGCGGCGGCGGTGGTATCCCCAGTGTGGGCACCACGCACCTGATGTCGGCTCTGCAGGGCAAACGGCCGCGCCTGGTGGCGGCCCTGAACGGGTCCGCCGCGCCGCCCCAGCACCAGCACCAGGTGGTTCACCAGCACCAGCAGCAGACGGTGGTGACAGTGCAGCCGATGGAGACCGACCAGCGGCCGGCGCAGGACGCAGAGGACAGCAAGACGCGGCTGCATGGTGAGTGGACGGCGGTAGTAGGGCGCTTGGTAGCCTACCTGTGCTGTAGCGCCCACCCAAAAGCTCCAACAACACACACTGAACGGCGCTAGTGGTAGAATAAGACTCACAGTAGACTCAGGATAGAATAGAGTAGACTGACAGGATGAAGACAATGGATATTCCGGGCGAGTAGCTGAGCAAGTCAGAAGTCAGGAGAGCAAGGGTCAGGGGATAGCTGGGACGGGACGGGACTTGCGTATTGTTACGACCAACACCGTCTGTCAATAACTGCAGTCCGCTGCGAGTGGCCGGCTTTTATAACCGGCTCGCTGTGTTCATTGGTGATTGTTTGCTCTCTGACCGTCTTTCCCATCTCCTGTCCATTTTAGGCACGTATACGACGCTATGTTTGTCTCTGCTGTTGTTGTTGTTGTTGTTTGTTCCCTCCAGGTCGACCTCAGTCGACTGTAGCCTGACGGCTCTGCAGGGTCCTGAACGCGGCCGCCAGGGCCGCGACAACTCCGTCGCTCCGCACCTCTTCCCTGTTGGGTCTGATTGTCCCGGTGAGTCGCAGCCTGGCGCCCATCAGGGCCGGGCACTCGACCAGGACGTGGTACGGAGTATCCGCCGTCTCTCTGCACAGGGGGCAACGGGCACCCTGGCAGTCCACGTCTTCGCACTGCGGGCAGTGTCGCGACGGGTTCCGGCCGATTCGGTGGAGGTACTGGGCGGAGCCTGACCAGTGCCCCGCTCGCAACTGGTGCACATCCACCGCCTCCGCTCGATCCAGGTGTCTGACTGGTCCCGGCAGCTTCGCTCCCATGAGGCTGCGGTACCATCCGCGCGGCCAGTCGCTGACCCACTGGTCCCGCGCCGTCCTTGCCACCGCGCGGTACACCGTCATGGCGTCGACGGGGACTACCTCTTGGTCCAGTGCTGAAGCTTGCTTCGCCAGCTCGTCCGCTCTCTCGTTCCCGGGCAGGCCGCAGTGGGAAGGTACCCACTGTAGGTAGGTACGCCTGCCGCGGGCCGCCAGCTGTTGAAGCGCCGCCCAGATTTCTCCTCCTATGAGGGTTGTTTGGGTAGAGGGGCCACCCCGGAGTGTCGCCAGAGCTGACTGGGAGTCCGTGCATATCACGATCGGCTCAGGAGGGAGGGTTTGTCGGTCCAGCAGGAACTTCAGCGCTTCTCTGAGGGCTACCATTTCAGCACGGTAGCTGGAGCAGACGTTCCCCGCCGGCACCGTGAGTAGGTGCTGCTGGCCGTCCGGGTCCTCGATGAAAACGCCAGCGCCGCCGTTTGTGATGCCTCCCTCCACCGAGCCGTCGGACCAAACCCAAGTCGCGCACTGTGGCAGACTACCTAGGTGACAGGTCGCCGCGTCTCTCTTCTGTGTGGAAGTCGCATTCAGTGGTAGTGGTCCCACGTCCAGGCTGATGGTGACCCCGCTCTTCACTTCCCACGGGGGGACGCTCGCCTGCGATACTGGGTCGATAGGGGGGCCGACACCGGCCGCCTCCCACATCTCTCGTCCCAGGGTTCTCCAGCCCGTCACGGATCTTAGACGGGCCGGGGCGTCCGACGCGGCTACTCGATGGAGCGGCTCCTCCGGGGGGAGCGCAGTCGCCTTGGCCAGGAAACGCGCAGCCAGTGTCCTTCTCCTCACCGATACCGGGAGAAGGCCCGCTTCCGCCATGAGCGCGTCCGACGGAGTGCTGCGAGTGCACCCCGTGACGACTCTCGCCGCTGCTCTCATTTCCCTCTCCAGAAGTTCCACGTGGGAGGGCGGCGTGGCAGGAAGCCAGGCTGCTGCGGCATGCTCCAGGGCTCCTCGGACATAGCCGCTGGCTACTGTCCGGAGCAGGTCCTCCTCGAGGCCCCAGGAGCGTCCGGACAGCTGACGCAGCTGCGCGATGCGTGGGCGGACCTTCTTCCTCAGCTTATGGCAGTGGGGGCCGAAGTGGAGCAGACGGTCTAACTGCACGCCGAGTAGGCTGATGGAGTCCGTGGCTGACACTGTCTTCCCCGCCATCTTAATCTGGCAGTCGACTGCGTCGCGGTGCCACTGTGACAACACCAGCATCTGGGTCTTCTCAGCTGCAACGACCATCTTCGACTTCTTTGCCCAGGCGAGAAGGGCGTCTGCAGCCCTCTGGGCCCTGTCCTTGGCTATCTGGATGGAGTTCCCGGCGCACAGTGCTGCGGTGTCGTCCGCGTACATATACGGTGAGACACCGGGGATGTCGCGGAGATCTTGCACGAGTGTCGCCGCCCATAACAAAAACAGGGACGGCGAGAGCACACTGCCCTGGGGCAGGCCCGCTCTAAACACTCTCTCCCCGCTGAGCACCCCGTTCACCTCTACCTTGACTCGACGATCTCTGAGCCACTGCCACACCCAGTTCACCATGCAAGCCGGGAGGCCCAGTTCCAGCAACCGCAGTCTGAGGAGGCGGTGGTCGACTTTGTCGTACGCCCTCGCAAAATCGAACGCGAGGAGGACGTACTTCTGCGCTGTGGCGCCGTCTTGATGGTTCTGGTGTCTCGGTCGGGGGAGCTGCCACCCATCTTGTACCTCCTGCACGAGGCGGCCGATGCTGTCCTCCACAGAGCGGTGAGCTCTGAAGCCCACCTGCTCCGGCGGCACCATGCCCCTGCTCTCGCTGAGGTAGGTGAGCCGGGCCAGGATCAGTCGCTCTGCCAGCTTCCCGACGTGGCTCGTCAGGGCAATGGGACGGTAGCTGCTGAGGAGCCTCTTGTCTTTCCCGGCCTTGGGGATGGGAATCACTGTCGCCGCGCGCCATTCTCTTGGGACTTCTGCTGTCGCCCACGAGGTGTTGATGAGACGTAGCAGGGCGTCACGCGCGACAGGACCGAGGTGCCGCAGCATCTCGTTTGAGATCCCGTCCGGGCCAGGGGCTTTCTTCAGCTTGGTTTCTCGGATGTGTTGAGCGAGTTCTTCAGGGGTGAAGGGCCCACAGCAGCGCCCGGCCTCTCTGTCTCCTTGACATTCCGCACAGCGCTTGAGGGCGGGTTCTTGCAACTTCTTCTTGACCTCTCGGTCTATCTTCGTTGCTCGGATCTGCCGGGACACATGGGCGTACGTCCTGGCAAAAGCATCCGCCTTGGCGCGGTCGGTGACAAGCAGTCGGCCGCCGTCCTCCATTGCCTGGCCATCTCGCTGTTCCTCATCCGTTGACTTGTCCCACTTCTTTAGGAGTTTTGAAACTCTCCCCAGACTGGCTGGTCGGTTCAGCGTCTCAGAGACGAATTGACGGAAGCGATCACGGGACACTCTCCTCTCCACCTCCGCCGCCCTCTGTTTCGCCTCCGTCCACCTGGTCCTGGACCGCTCGTTCCCAGGCTGCAGCAGGCGTCGGGCCTCCCGGCGCTCCGCTACGGCCTCCCTCAGCTCGGGGTCGAGTGCCCACGGTTTGGGGTCCGCGCGGGCCCCGCAGGGGATATGCCGCACGCCCGCCTGACGTAGGGCCGTCGAAAACCGGTCGCTCTGGAGCTGCGCCGACTCTCCCGGAGTCCCGGCCTCAAGGAGGGCCGCCTCACAGGTGTCGCGGAACGCAACCCAGTCGGCCTTGTCGTAAGCCATCCTCGCCTTGCGGATCCTGCGGGGTTGCTCTCGAATTCCGCGCATCTCCACCACCATCGGCAGGTGATCGCTCCCGAGGTCACCGGACCTCGGGTGCGATCGCTTTGTCTCTGCTCGACGTGTTCTCCTGTCTCTCACCTGTCCCCTGTCCGTCCCAGGCGCGTATATGACGCTGTGTTTCTCTGTAACTGTTTTCTCTGAGTAATGAGCGTTTCTCCCCTGTTCGTTCCAGGCGCGTGCATGACGCTATGTTCATCTGTGATGTGATTGTGTTCGCTGACGGTCTCTCTCCTGCCCGTCCCAGGCGCGTACATGACGGCGGCGGTAACGGTGTCTCTTACTGTGCCGCGCTGTGATTGTGCTCTCTAGCTACCTGTCCTGTCTTCTCCGTTTTAGGCGCCTACATGACGCTGCGCTCATCCGTGACTGCATTCTCTGACCGTTTGTCCCCCATTCTTGTTCCAGGCGCGTACATGACGGCGTCCATGGCTGTGTCTCATACTGTGTTCATCTAGAACTATATTCTCTGACTGTGCGTTTCTCTCCTCCGTTCCAGGCGCGTACATGCCGGCGTCGGTGGCGGTGCCGCTGGGCCCCGGCGGCGACCAGCCAGTCACCAGCTCGGCGGCCGGGTCAGTACAGTGAGATCGACTGAAGAAGGGAGGACGGGTCGGGTCCTTCCAGGGGATGGGTGTGGTGTTACGGATGCGTCAGCATGTTGGGGAAGGTGGGATGTTGGGGTAGAAGGTTCGGTGTGTCGTAAAACAGCTCAGTGCAGGTGTAATAAGTACAGTCGGTCCTTTAGGTAGGTACATCAGCACCAATGTATGTGACCCCTCGATTGCAGTACCTTCTACGCATCGAGCAGATTCTAGTATAAACGCTAGTAACCTTAGTAAACCAGTCTCTAGATTTAGTACTTTGTTATATCTCGGTACCTTACAACTCAAATCGGGTACCTAGTAGAATAAGTTCCGGCTTCAGTACCGGAGCAATCAGTCCTGTCATCTTAGCACTCAGATCGCGCGGCTCCACGCTCATGAACACATAAATGTCTGAATGTTATTCTGTGCCCAGTACGATAACATTTGAACAATTTCGCCCAGAAGCCTTTAAGTGAACTCTGCCACCCCGTCCACAACACAGCAGGATAAACAAACCCCATAGGTATGCGCCCATCTTCCGGGTCCATTGGATGCTATGTTATTTGAGCAAGCTGCCGCCTCGGCTATATTTGTCCAAATCACCCGTCACGTATTTGACACGTGTATCGGCTATCTTGTGTTAGCCATTCACTGCGCTGCGAGCTGCGATGCATCATTGTGTGTTGCAAGTGTGCAATGCACCGATCATTGCTGCTTAAGGACATTGGGTCCTGCAGCGTTGTTTGCGATAGCAGGCTATCAAGCGGAGTTTAACTCATGATAACAATAAGTCCGTGAATGTTTGTGTGGGGCATATCTTCCTGAATGCTCACTGAATGAATGGATGCATTGGTCTTATCTGCACGAAAAAAGGTCTTCGGCTGCTGAATTCATTTATGTACCATACATTGAGTAAGGTTGTAAAGCTAGTTGATATCATATAAGGAAGTTTTACCTCCACTGTATTCTTTTCCTCAGCGGTTGATCTCTGGGCTCTTCTTCCATCCGTGAGCTCCCCTTTTGCACCGGTCTGAGCTCTATTTGTCATTCTAACCCTCGTCTCTCTCCTCTTCCAGCTCGGTACAGCTGCCTCGCGTCACCTTCTGGCCCGCCGACGAGGGTCCCGGTTTGAGCCCGGTTCCGGCTGACAAGCGCGCAGCCTCGCCGTCTACTACCACCGGCGTACCCGGCGCCGACGGCCAGGAGGGCGCCGAAAAGCGACCGAGGCTCGAGGACGACTGAGGTGCCGCCATGGGAACGTAGTCGCCACCGTGGGTGTCGTTGTGCCGCCGCCGCTGCTGCTGATGTTGATGGAGACTCGTGGTCAGTTTGGGGGTTGAAGCTGGTGCGAGAGGCCGTGATCTGTGCTGCGGTGGCCGCAAGTTTAGAGATGAAGATGTTATTCTTGTGTATCTCCCAAGTGACTGCAGTGGTATTGTCAACATCGGCATTCACAGAACCATCAGCCTAGACTTCCAGACGCTGCCAGCGGTCAGGTGCCATCTTACTCAGTTGACAACTTGAAGATCTTCAGGAGCTTCAGAGGAACACCTGACCTAGTCTTTATCAATATGCCGCGGCGGCGCGGCAGCAGTGGCGATGAGCGAATAGCCCTCACCAGCGGTGGCGGCGGCTGGCGGTGCTTTGAGACTTCTCAGCGACAACCACGGACGGTCCGGAAAGTCGTGGCGAGAGAATGCGCGAGCGAGAGGGGCGAGACTAGCTTTACGCGCCTACGAGTGATCGTGGTCGCGGCCGAACGCGTGACGAGATCGGCGGCAGGGGCCGGGGAGCCGCTGTGGCGTCCCGTCGCCCCCTGCTGGCCGACCAGCCAGTATTTGGCTCTTGGCTGGCGTTAGTCTGTATGTTATCTAGCTCTGATGGGACATTGTGCGCAGTTGTGCGCGCGGCGCGACATGAAGCGACCTTTATTTGAATGGACGACGTGGCGAGTACAGAAGTACGTTAACGTCAGAGTACATAGGTACGGAGGGGACGAGTGTACCCTGACGCGTATGGAGCTGATGAGTACGCGAGTACGTGTGGTGCTGGTACCGCGAGGTACCGAACATCCTGACAAGTACACGCCACTCGCCGCCTGGAGGTACTAAAAACGCCAGTGTACCCGAGTACCGGCGAGATGTACCGCGGGACGGCTCCTCAGAGATATGCACGGTACCCATAGGTACCGGGGTGTTTGTGGTACCCCACAAGTACACAGCCAGTGCCGCGTCTTACATAGGCGGTGAGCGTGTACAAACGCGACGTGCCACCGCTCCCCTGTCGGCGCGCGAGCCCTGTACAAAGCAGCAGAGAGTGGGGCGCCTCGACGCGCCTGTGTGTGTGTCTGTGTGTGAGAGACCGTCGCGAGACGGTATAACTGCGGAGTATGTCTCGTATCGGCGCCTACAGCAATACAAGCCCGCAGAGAGTGTGAGATTGCCGAGTTTGTGTCGAGTTGTCAGCGTTGTGTTGTGTCTCATCTCGTGCTTCATATTGAAGCTGACATTAGGCGGTCGTCTGCCCGTGGCCGGGCCTGCCATGTCGCGAGTCGTGTGCTATTTAACTGGGTGGCTGAGACCCGCGCGGGGCCGCGGCCTGTGCACTGTGCAGGGTGGCACCGCCAGTAGTTTGCGAATGCACGGATGGCTGGCCATTGGCGGCTGTCGGTCTACCGCATTTAGCTCAGACAATGAATGCCGTGACGTTATATCTATAAGGGAGAATAATTAGACAGTTCCCATGCCACCATGTGTGAATGAATCGGTAAACGGACTGGCGATCCATCGCGACTTGTGCTTCAAACAACAAAATACGTCTGTCACTACTTACTAGCGTAGGACGAAAAAGGGGGGCGTGGTGGGGCTTGCTAAAGCGAGGGACCAAATGAATTTCGGTCTTCTGAATGTAAAGTCAACCCGGCACTTTCCATATAATGTGTTATTTGTAGCCGATTGACAGCCATAGGTACTGAGAGTGAAGGACAGTACTTGGCATTAGTAACGGATAACCCGACACGAACACCAACTGATTACAGTCGACCTTGCAGAGCTACAGAGCTGGTGAGCCCGGCCTAAAACTGGTTGAAACCAGTTCAGTTTTTGCCGTTGGGTTGTTAATAGTTCATTGGTGTAGTGGGAGACGGGTGTTGTCAGTCGCGCCACCCATCCCATGTTAATTCCGCTTCCATGCCAATCGCTTCATGTAACTAAGTCATAGACAAAGGTCCAGTTGTTCTAAGGCGCGGATCGCTGCGTTGTAACCCTACGAACTCCTCGAATTTCCGTAGTGACTGCAAGTTTCACATCTCAAAGTTCCATGGCACAAGTTTCCTGAATCCCGGTGTGGATGAACTTCACGGCTCAATCATTGCCAGACTGCTCCAGAACCCAGTAATGTATGTAGTATTGTAAAGTAATCTTGTGTAGTATCATAACATGTGAACCTTGTGAAACTTCCCGAAACCAAAACAGCCTACACTGGCGCTTCATACGTTCTTACGCAAACATCCTGAAACCCCCCGGCTCAAAACTCTGGCCTTACCAGAGGCCTATGCCGCCGACGGGCCCGTCTGAAACTGCGCCTCACGGCCCTGACATCCCGTCGGAAGTCCACCTTATGTGGCATTCCCACTCCACCCAATAAAACACGCGTCAGATGAAGCAGCTGCAACTGTATTCTCTAAATGAAACGCTAGACTCTCGATTTCGCGACGCGAGCGTGAACTGTGATAATAATAATAGGCACACGACGCGGAGAAGGTACGGCAGCAGGTCGGTCCATTAGACCAGACTGTGGTCCGACTACAGACTGCAGTCTGACCGAGTCGCGAGTGCCGCAGACTGCCGCTGGAACAGACTACACACGCGTCTGAAGCAGACTGAAGTCTGATCAGACCCCAGACGTCACAGAAATGAATTCAAACAGACCACTCAACATATTCAGCACGCGCAGGACCAGCCCAGACACGCCTATTTGCACACACCCATAGTAACGCACACGCACACACGCGCGCGGGTGTCCTCAGGCGGGCAGCTGCCAGTCGGCGCTCCTCGCACAGTGCCATACGCGCGCACTACCAAACCGAACGGGAACGCGCCGAGTCGGCAACTCGTCCGACATATACTGTGTAAATAAATATTAGTCTATCTAGGTACAAATCCTCTCTTCGCCGCGCGGCTGCGGCCCGACCAGCGGGCTGCCACATCTCCCACCAGCGCTGCCATATCTCACACACCTGCGCTGCCAGACGGCGGCGAAGGCAATCGATGCGTGCGCCACATAGGCCTCACTCGGCGCCGGCCGCCGCGCGGCTCACCGGCAGGCGGCACAGGTCGCGGCGTTGTAACAATCGTACTGCACAGTGCTAATAGCAGCTGTCGAATTCGACACTAGCGCGCCCGCCATTCTCAGATCGCACTCCAGATTGCACTCCAAGTCACTCCAGATCACTCCAGATCGTTCTAGATCACTCTTGAATCACTCCAGATGACCGCCAGATCACTCCCCAATCATTTCACACCTCCCAGGATAACTCCAATCTCCAGGACAACACAGGTCCAACGCCTCATTACCCCCCACCATCCAACCCAAACCACCACAGTCCCCACTCTCTCCACCCCCACTCGCGCTCTCATCCACCGGTGTCCACCCTTCGTCCACTTTCTCCCCACATGTTCCACCTGACCGCGAGGGTCCTCTGAAACACGGCCGTGGCAGCAGCCGCCCGGCGTCGCGGTTCGCGTAGGCACACCTCATCGTCTGATAGCTAGCAAGGCGTCCGCTTCTGCCAGACCGCAGCAACGCAGAACCTCCCAGTGGAGCCGCGGAACCACGGTGGAACCATCCCGGAACCACGGCGGAACGCGCATAACTCGGCAGAGCTGCTCCCTACTTCATACGTCGCGCGCGAGCTAGTTGATTAATCGTTTTCTATCGTATAGAAAGGAGACTAACCCCAGCTACTCCAGAGTATCTGTTTAGCACAATCACCGTTTGACTACATCTCGCGATTCCGCGGCTCCAGTGGCAGGCCCCGCGCGCTCGTGAACGTCACAGATGTTCCATCGGCCGGCCGATGACGTCACTGATTCAGGCCGATGACGTCACTGATTTTACATCGGTCGCGGCCCGTCTGTCAGATTGGGCCACCTCCGCTGGCTTCAGCGGGAGGGGCCGTGGCGGCAGTAGACTTACACCGTCAGCGAGACGAAGCTGTTGTACTGGGTGATGTTCCTCTTGAGAATATCCGAGCAGGGTCCCAGCACGCGCTCGAACCTGGGCGGGTCACAGGGGGGTCAGATTTCGCAGGAGGGCTGTGAGGGTGTAAACGTGATCCATTACATCATTACTGGATCAGAGTACAACAAACGGCTCAAAGAGGTACCAAACACCAAAGGCCTCTCGTCCGTTAGCCAACAGACAGCAAGATATTTAGCTACTTACAGCAACCTGGCCAAATCGAGTAATGTGAACAATTTACGACGGTATCATGGCTACATGATCTACAACTACATACCGCTGCGTTCCGCACGCCTTCCCCGGCGTAACTACCAGCCTAGCCATGTCAAACCGAAGAGCACAGGACGATAGTGGAGCTTAGGACAAAGTAGGACAGACCATCACTTGGTGAGGAGCAGTGATGTATGTGCGCAACCTCGCCTGGCCCTGCCCAGTCGGGCAGAGCAAAGGGGGGCAGTGCACCTTAGGACAGAGTACCGGAGGAAATCAGTGGAGTGTGTACGCACCTAGCCCTGTCGAGCCGGACACATTTCAGAGCGCCGCGCGCTACCACCGTGGCCGCCCGCGGGCGGTCCAGCATCAGAGCGATCTCGCCTGGGAACACAGACACGGTCAGGACAACTGGAAGCACACGGGCATGGTCAGAACACCAGGGAACACACTAGAAATCCTGGGAACACACACTAACACGGTCAGAACACCCGGAACACAGACAGTGACACGGTCAGAACACCTGGGGACACACACGCCGAGACGGTCAGAACACCTGGGAAAACACACGCTGAGACGGTCAGAACACCTGGGGACACACACGCTGAGACGGTCAGAACACCTGGGGACACACACGCTGAGACGGTCAGAACACCTGGGAAAACACAGTGTCACGGTCAGACAGACGACCTCAGACCGACATATACAGATCAGACAGATACGTAAAGATTGACTGGCTGACTGACTGACTGACTGAATAATTTGACTGACAAGATGCATCATCCGTCCGTCCATTGACGGCGCCATCCACTCACAAAAAAACACACCAACCCATCTCAGCCGGTGGCCTGCCGCCTCAACCTCAAAAGGCTTCAAATCCCTACCTCCCCCTGTCCCCACCGCCCTAAAACCCTCCCCTTCAAAGACATTACATTACAGCGTGACTGAAGTACCAATCGGAACGCCGAACCAGTATCAAAGCGACGACCACGACGGCCCTGCCTTCACAATCAGTCGAATTAAGTATGGGAACTAGCCACGCAGCCGATACAGCCAGGGAGGATATTAGCAACATCAGTTTCTGTAACCATGTCAGGAGGCTTGTGACAGACAAGGGTTAGATGGGGTAACTTTGAGTTTGCGAAAACGGGTCCTACGGTTCCGAGAGAAACGCTATCATCCCCAACACGTAGCAGCTTGCATGGCATTGAAACTAACTTGCATGTACTTAATAGTATGAAATATATTCTATACCATGCATTAACCCTCACCCGCACATGCCATTTTCCCATCCTAGAACGCACATGGGGGTGGGGTGGGGGGTGCCACCCCCGCGCCATTTCGTTCCTGTTGGAGATAGAGCTTCGCGGTAAAGACAAAAAAGATTCTTTGGGAAGAGACGAATCCAATGATACCCAGTTTTACCTTCTCAGGTCAGTCATTGACCTTCCAGGTCAGGTCAAACTAAAAAATGTTGCTGTTTTGGGCCGCCGTTGGATATCAAGTGCGCTGCTATCATATACCGATGACGATGCCGTTTTCTGGTGCCAAGCCAGTTAGAACCTCTTTGTCACACTACCCGACCAGGTTTTTGCTGGAGGTCATTCCAGGTCAAGTTAGGTCAAGGTCAATGATATGTGTTTGTATGTCTGTGTGTGTCTGTGTGTATACTGATGTGTGCACCGATTGTTTATGTGTCCATATTACATGAAATCATGATCTGAGAAGCTTTTACCAAAAATGCAGTTAAAAAACTTCACGAAAAGTAAATTCAGCTTGCCTAAAACGCAATTATTTTAGATGACCTAGGTTGACCTTGACCCTGACCTTGACATCTGTACATCGTCGAACAACATGTTCAATAATAGGTGGGAGGTAAGACTGGCAAAAAAGGCCGAAAGCAAGGTGTCAAAAGCTCACAAGGCCCATAGCCAACACAAGATGTTGAGAATTGGTCATTTGTGTCATGACATGACCTGAAAAACAAGGTCATATCTCCGAAACCAAAAACCACAGAAACTTGAAATTTTCAGTGGACATCAAGAAAGGATAGAAGAGCAGCTATACGAAAAATCAGGTTTCTAGCTCTAAAAATGTCGAGTGCAGAGCAAAAAGACTACCTGAGGGGGTGGGGGTGGCAACCCCCCCCCATGTGCGGGCGAGGGTTAAGTGCAGAAATAAAGTGATCAGGGCGCGGCAGTAAGTACTCCGTCCCGACTAGCCACAGGTAGTGCAGGGGCCCAGGCTGTCCAATCACCACCCTCACTACCCCTCTCCTCACTGACCGAAGTAGTCTGGTGGTCCCACCCAGCCTGCCCCTCCATAATTCTAACTAAGTGAGGAACACGGACGGCCCGAGCTACCCTCACCCCTCTCCTCACTGGCCTAAGTAGTAAGGCGGCCCTGCTAGCCTCTCCTCCCCTGCCTAACACAAACTGAAGAAGTCGGACGTCCCTAGTGATTCTTCATTTTCACTAGCCGAAGTATCCCGACAGCCCCAGCTAGCCTCCCCTGCCCATCCCCCTCACTAACCGAAGTAGTCGGAGGGCCCGAGCTGTCCGACCTCTCCCCTCACTAATTGAAGTAGTTAGTCTGACGGCCAAAGCCAGCCTGCCCATCCCCCTCACTAACCGAAGTAGTCGGAGGGCCCGAGCTGTCCGACCTCCACCGCCGGCTCGTCCTCGGTCCGACGCTGCAGCACAGCCGCCGTGCCCTCCACGATGATGAAGAAGTCGTCACCCGGCTCGCCCTGGCGCACGATCGCCTTCCCGTCGTCAAATGACACCGGCTCCAGACTGTCGGCTACAGTGAGACGCTCCCACTTGTCCAGGTTCTCTGCGGGATGTCAGGCCAGGTCAGGAGGTTAAGGTCAGGTTAGGTCAGGCCAGTAAGGCACCGGCTCCAGCCTGTCGGCTGCCATCAGATGCTCTCACTTATCCAGGTTTTCTGTAGGAGGTCAGGTCAGGGCAGGTCAGGATCAGTTTATACCAGAACATGAATAGCATAGAGCAATCAAGTAGGTATCAACACTAAACGGTAAATTTGTATCCGCATTCGTAACCCACATAGCCACTTAATACCAATAAAACTCAACGCCCATGACTGCCTAGCCAACAAGTCCACCACCCGCAGTATCAGTGGTTTACGCACCCAGAATGGAGACCTTGCTCAGGAACTCGTCGTACATCTTGCGTTTGCGGATGGTGGAGCCCATCAGAATCCTGAGAAGCGGGCACACAGGGGAGGGTCAGAGTCAACGCAGACCAGCTAGGACGGTTTGCGAACAGCCCACATTATCATAGCACCTTACACGAATGGATAAAGAATGAATACCTACACAAAGGCAAGACTAGGCAGGGAAATACCCCAAACGGGACTGCACAGCGGGATCACTGGAACACGCCCTACAACATAAAGACAGATATATGAAAGCAATTCATTCCCAAGCAACAAGTCAAAGACGATGATCCATCAACTTCAGGAGGCGATGACCAACGGTGCAACTACAAACTAGGAAAACGTCATTTCATCTCAAATATGCATCTTTTTGTAGCCCAAAACATCCAAGGTAACTCCTACATTCCCATCCACAGCACGAAAACCCAGTCCCGCAGTGAACAGATCCCCGCCCACCCGCTAGGAGTCTTCACTCACCTCCGGTAGGTGTCGCGGTCAATGGCCCACAGTTTGACGTCGGTACGGGCGCGCACGGTGGCGGCGCGCGGCGTGCCATAAATGAGCGCCAGCTCGCCGAAACTGCCGCCCTCCGAGATGGTGGTCACTTGTTCAGCGTCCACGTACACCTGGGGGTGGGACGGGGGGAGGAGGGTGAGAGTGAGGAGATTTAGATTCAGATTCATTCAACAACAGTCCTCGACATGGTGCGGGCTTTTCACTGTTAGGACACGGAAAAATGGGACGACAGATGAGTGTAGTTGTGGTTTGAGAAAATATAGAAACGGAATGTGAAGGGACTGGTGGGTATGGAGGTGAGAAAGAGAAACGATAAAGCGACAGAGAAAAGAGTGGAGAACAAAAGAGGAGCAAATGAGGGAAAGAGGGAGAGAAAGAGAAAGAAAGAAAGAAAGAAAGAAAGAAAGAAAGAAAGAGAGAGAGAGAGAGAGAGAGAGAGAGAGAGAGAGAGAGAGAGAGAGAGAGAGAGAGAGAAGGTAGAGCAACAGCGACGATATAGCGACAGAGAAGAGAGCAGAGAACAACAGAGGAGAGAATGAGAGGGAGAGGGAACAGGGCGGGAAAGAAGGAGAGGCGAGTGATGGCACCCGGAGGCATCAAAACACAAGAGGGAAATAGAAAATGAAAGGGAACTGGCGCAAAAAGTGTAACAGGGAAGTAAGAGCGTGGCAACAGCGAGGCAACAGACATGACATGTTCGCGTGCAATAAATCTACGACAAAAACAATCAAACAAGATAAAGCCACACCTGCTCATTGAAACATGCCACACCAAAGTGCCTTGTTCGATTACCCCCTTAGTTTCTAATCCCACTTCAAACGCCCGGGATCGTCTGCCCATTACGGTTAGCCCGGTCAGGCCTGTTCCATCACTTTGACCCCGCACGGCCAGCTTCTGACACCGTCATTTTAATCAGCCTCCTCATCCGCCGCTAATTAATATCTGCCGCCTTCAATGGATACCAAGAGACAGCGACTGAATAGACATCGCTCGGTGCAGGGTAGGATGAGGCGGCTGTCGTGGGTCGAGTCAATGAAACTTCATTAGAACAGACCACAGAACTCTTAGTAGAGGAAGAGGGCGCATGAATAAGCAGCGGTTCGGAGTGGGATTCGGGGTCATCTTTAGATGCTAGCTTGGTCCCCAGCAGGATGCGTATGGACGGATGCCCGTGAAACACGGGAGCATCTGTTTGAAGTCGGTCTCCTTCCATTTTATTACGCGGGTTGCTAAAGTACTTAAGCACACTGCTCCAAAATGATTCTTTGGCATCACAGAAGGAAGCCTGAAGCAGCTTATTTTCTCCCCTTCTGACATTGAAGGCATCTCTGGATAGGAAAATGAACAACACATCTTAATATCCTATCCTTAACTGAAAGCCCGGAATACATGACCACTACTCCGTTCCGACCCCCTCCCCCCCCCCGTGGCATCCAATCAATCCCCCAGCGGGACAGGATCGGTGCCCGCCCAACTGACCTCCACCTCGCCGGAGTCGATGACGTAGAAGTTGTCGCCTTCGTCGCCCTGCTGGATGATGGTCTCGCCCTTGAGGAACGTCTGAGCAAACATGGCGTCGAACATATCCGACCTGCCGGATGCCATGATGGGTTGCGTCAGAAGAAGCAAAAGAGAAAAGGGAAGTGGATGTTAATGTGGAATTTAGGTAGAAAGTAAAAGGGGATGATGCCCTGCGGCACGGACTAGCAAGCTAACATTTACTTTTTAATACAGGCTATTGTGATCAGACAATGGCATTGGCAATGGATAAACAGTATTCGAAGCTGGCTGAATAGTCAACTGATTGTAGGTCATACAAGGCATTATATTATGTCACATAATAAATCAATCGCAGTAAATTGAGTTAAACCAACGGAAGCCAGTCACGTTCCACAGTGAATGAGATGTGAATACTGTATAGTAATGTCAGAGTGGTACGCTGCATACTGCATAGTATTCACGGCTTTGACTAACCTCAATATGGACACAAATAATCATGGATTGCGTAGTGCGTACTTGGATAGGCGCCGGCTGAATGCGGTTATGATTAGCCTGCTGAAATATGTAACATCTAATGCTGTCCATGAATATCAGAGCAATGCTCCAATGGAACTCAGCATTAACCTTCGTGATAGCCCAGGGTCGTAACAGACTCACAAATAGGTCACCGACGTGCAAATAGGACTATTCAACAAGGCAAAACTGGGCAAGCTCAGCCCGCACTAAGCCATGGTGCCGGTGTAATTGCTACTCAAAATATTTACTACACACAGTGCCCATCTTCAGGTCATTCAAGAAAACCAGCAAACAAGTGTTTCACTATTGCCTTTCTGCAACGAATAAGTCAACAATTTAGTCACAGAAGAAAACATTTGAATAACATTAAAAAGGAATAACATTAGACTCTTATTAAAAAGTCACTTTACAACCAAGTAACTTGATAAGTTTTATTTTTACCACGCTCAACATCCTACAAAATTGTCACATGACATATCACCTCTCTGTACGCTGAGCTACCGTAACCTGTCACGTGACGTCCTCACCTCTCATTCTCGTCCAGGTGCGAGAAGAGTACGTTTTTGGCGATGGCCTTGCTGAGCGCAGCCATCGTCTTATAGTCCTTCGGCACGACCTGAGGTAGAGCAGAGGAGCAGCGTGGTCAGGTAGAGTGGGGAGAAATCAGACAACATGCACGACAAAGCGGATACAGTATCTGTAAAAACATCGCAGGAAACTTTGAAATCACATCCTGGGTAAGCTTTGTTCTTTTGTTCTCTTTGGATAAGTTCCCTCACTGCAGAACACTTTATGCTAACGAATGTAATGTTTCAATATCAGCTAATTTAATACTCCTCAGCCTAGCAACGGCAGCTAGCAACAGTTTCGATCCAAGCCGATGCCAGCCGCTAATTCGATTCTCGCTATTGGCACATCCTGTGGTCGGTGGCCGGCGGCAGCAGATACTTTACCCGTCACTTCCTTGATACCCGAACATTAATGGAGCTCACGTGTCACCTAGGCTTTAACACACGACTAACGACTCATGGGGAGCTCATCATAGCTCACGAAAAGGCTGCTAATGGCTCACGAAATCATTTTTAAATCACTGCAACAAACATGACCGATTTGCAGCAGCGGAATTACTGACGACGCACACCAACTGGCGACGCACACAACATCTGTGATAGGTTGCATACTTGCAATTATCGTATTGGCACTTGAATGCCGCCTCGCACTGCTTGAGTACACCAGAACATATTTACCATTAAACTCCTACCAGAAAATCTGAGGAGCCTCAAACAAATGCGAGTGTTGGCTAGGCGTGTGGTAACTAATGCTGTACCATGAGTGACCAGTGAGGAGATGTCATCTCCTTCGAGATGTCGTTTTTAAATGATGTCGTGTCGTCATCTCCTTCGAGATGACATCTAGCGATGCAATTTGAATGGTTACGTCCAGAAGAAACAGAACTCGCAGGTCAGTACAAGACATCAAATGGACCTACATCTTGATGTGGCACCCGGAACTGGCACTATCATTCCATACACGCCTCCAGACCCACTGAGGTCCACTGAAGGCCGGCTGCACGGTCGGTCACACGGTAACAACTTCGTTAGGAGCGCCGCCGTGACAGGGGCGCCGCGCTGGCGGCAGCCAGACGCTAATGTGATGGCCAAGACCACAGGGTCGAACACTGGGAGCTGTGACTGTGAGCGTGGGCTGTGAGCGGGATTGAAGGGAAATAATCAGCAACTACGAACGAAACTGCAATCTTAGGCAGATAAAACGGAGAAGGAATGATTGGAAGGATGTTTGATGTGATGACTGATCGAAACAAAGTCAGAGATGATTCGCTAGCGGACGCTCGCAATCAGAGCATGATGACAGTGAGATTTAATCATGCTTGCGAACTGATACCGAGACATATTCGGCAGCCGTTGAATTCACCATAAGGGCTGGCTGGGTTTGGACCTGAATGTGTACAGGCCTCAAACATAGTCCATACTATGGAGGTCATCAACTCAAGTACAAATTACGCAGGATAGCAAACAATCCAGCACATTTACCGAATCGATTTCTTCACGAAACTGAGCTCGCAAGTGACGCGTTCTAGGTTGACTAAAAAAGAATCTGTCATTGAATTGTGGATCTAAAGGTGAGAAGCTAGAATCCCACTGGCTTTTGGGGATGCACAGTCATTTGCTAAAGATCTCGGCATTATCTTTCGAAACACGAATGGTCCATGTATCGATGTTCAGAATTATCCGCAGAAATCCACAAATGAACAAGAAAAGAAAAAACATGATACGCAGAGCATATGACAGAGAATAATAGAGGGCTTATTGCTTAATCAGCAAGCATATCGACCGGAAGCCAAGTATCGCTCTAAATCAAACCAGCTCCCGGCTGTTTATCTCATCCCGCCCAGTTCCCATATGTCTCCTAAATCAAATCTAACAAGGATCATCATTTAAATTCCGAACACTGGCCAAACAAGCGCAGTCGCCTCTGCCGCACACAGGCCACGCCTTGGGCCAATAGCCCGCCCGAGGCTCTCTTCCCATACCAACTCCTGTTTATCGACTCACAGAAAACACAAACGAGCAGAGTTCGGGCGGTGGTCAGTGAAATAGTAGTAAAGTAACCGTGGTGGTCAGCTCGCGTAAGACAAAACAAACGCATCGGATGGTAACGATACCAAGAACTGGCAGAAAGCCTTGTAAACTATTGGATCGTTTGAAATAGCTGAGCCTGCCTTACTTCAGGCTCAACGTTCATGTAAACACAAAAGGACACGAACTCTGACGTAGCTGGTGGTGTCATCCTCTGTGGCTCCCTTCCCTCTTCCAGCCCCTATCTCTCTCCCTCCCTCACCTTTTTGACATAGCTGGTAGCATCATCCTCTGTGACCGGCTCTGCCGAGATGGCACCGCGCCGTTTGACCGGTCCGGTGACCTGGGCCGGCAGTGGTGACAGGTCATCGCCCTCCTCCGGCGAGGCAGCCTGCTTCCGCGACTCACGAGCCTGCTCCTGGGGAGAGAATAAGGGAACGGGGTTAGACCAGGGACACAAGAGCAGACAGACACATAGCAGATATGTAACAGGTGGACAGATAAGCCTACATAAGAGTAAGACACATCGGTTTAGTTTAGAATCAGGTTCTGTCTCCGAAAGTAGACACCGATGTCCTCCGATTTCAATGAATTTCAACATCGATTGTGGTGCAATCAAACGGTCAAAGGTTGCACCTTCGGCCCTGCCGATGAGATGTACGAGATGCCATTGAGGTCGTTTGGACCTAATTTATGAGATTTATTGGGTCTCTGCGACCTGCCGGCGACACAACACATTTTTAGCCTGCAAAAGGAAATAAATCGAAAATGTCAGCAACAGGAAGGCGGAGTCGAAGCCGGCACATTTTGCTCGAAACCGAAGCCAGAGTCCGGAAGTTTTCTTCCCAGCCGGTGAAGAAGCCATCGAAAATGGTGCAACTTCTGCTGCTAAAGAACGAGATATGTGATAGCACTGGGATATGTGAGTGTGCTCCTATTTCATTCTGCAATACAGTTGCCTATCTCCCTTCCTCCTATTTTATTCTGCAGTACAGCTGCCTCCTCACACACAACACCCCGCCCATCTGAAGTCCAAACACCCTCTCCGCGGCGTCTGTTTGTGCCCCCCCCCCCCCCAGGACCCAAAGTGTCGGGTCGGGTGGCGTACCAATGGCAGTGCGCGCGCCGCCGGGTATCGGCAATCGACGCCCCACACTCGTCTCGCCATCTATAGCGGCTCGGCGGCCGGCAATAAAGCGAGCCCGGTCCGTTTGGAGAACGCCGGCGGCAGCAGTGGTGTTTGGGAAGTGGGAACTGAATAAGGCAGGCGGGGAGTGGTAGCCGACGGAGGTGGTAGAGGGGGGCGGGGAGGGGAGGGACGGGGAGGGGGTGTGGCAGATGGGCGGGGTCAGCGGGAAGGGGAGGGGTCTGGGGGTCTTGCATTCGAATTGGCGAAGGCTTTCGAAGCCGCTGATTTTGGAAAGCTGCGTGGCAGCTCAGAAGTTACAACCGGGGATGGCGAGCGAACCTTTGTAATACTGACGAGGACCATTAGGGACGTACCAGTGCATACCAAGGGTGAATCAGTGAGAGGCCGTTAGGGAAGGTAGAGAAGTGCGCGGTAGGAGGGTATAACAGTCGCAACGCGCAAGGTAGAGCAGTAGAGAAAGCAAGGAAAGAGCGATGGGGTAAGGACAAATGTCGAGGCAATTTCGTTGCATTAACAGAAATGCGTTAGAACTTGTTTTCATCCGTCCTGTGCAATGCGGACTAATACTTGAATGAGAGAAAAACATCAACTTTTATCGCTCCAGTTGTTTGAAAACTTCCGTACTTAGTCGGCTTACATAAATAAACTATTCAGGCATTGCCTACTTAGAACTTTACACGCCTATAACGCAAGTCAAAGTTGAGCGTCGAGCACCTGGGGCGCTCCCAAACCAAAGCACTTGGTAATTTCTGATTTAACTTTGACTCGAACTTGCCGACTATGGCGAGTGGCACGTTGGTGAACCAACTTTATAGTAAACAGCTCCCACCATAGGCAATTGCTTTGCAGCAAACGTACAAATGGCAGTCCCTTGTACTTTTCATAATTCTCACATTCCCTTATGCTAATTGGCAAGGAATGATTTCAGGAAAAATGTGTATATTTATCCATAATCAATGCATTGAATCGGAGTATTGGTGTGGCTATAAAACAAAATCATGCCAAACCCTTGACTATCAACGGGGTGCTTCACTGCTGCATTCTATAGACATTTGCATTAATTAATACGACCACGCTGACGCACCCGCAATTGGCCCAAAATCTCACTTCACGAAGATTCCCATGGATTTACAGCTAGCGTAGAGAAATAATGGCTTTACACCATCTGAATGTTCTTGCCGTTGTGGTAGGCGAACTGTACTGCAGTGTACCATTAACTGAAAACGTTTGGTGGGTGTTCTTAGCTAAACCCTATGTTCTATGGACATTAAATTTTGTGCAGATTATTCCAAAGTTCTGGATATATGCTACATAAGATTACTTTATTGACACATACAACGCTTACTCAGCGATCATATCCCTATGAATAGCGACCACAACGTTTTTTTTTTTCGATGCCAAGCCAAAGCTCTGAGAACGAACCTCTCTCAGCCGCCCAATCCCCCCCCCCCCTCTTATCCCACGCTGGACTATCACAGTCCCGCACTGGCTAGGGCCCCAGCCGTGTTAGATACTCTCTATCCCGCGCGTGACGTCACACGTCACAGTCACAGTCACAGTCACAGTCACTCACTGGCTACGGCTCCAGCCGTGTCAGTTACTCTGGATCCCGCGCGTGACCAGGGTGAGAAGTGAGACCTCGGCGTTCGCTGGAAGCGTCTGATGGTGCATCTGAGGTCGGCACGCGCACTCGGGGAAACGAATGGCGGCCTATGGCCAAGACGTCGAGTTCGACGAGAAAGTAATGGTGCTTGGAAAAGGTGGAAAGGCGAATACTGTCTGCTCAGAACAAGAGCTTGACGTCCTGTAGGGATTTCATGTTCTTGTTGGTTTCACCAAATTGAAAATAATCTTACGAACTCGTTTATCTTATTAAGAATGAAAATAATTTGAAAGCACTGAATCTAAAAAATATGCATAGCTCTACACCTAAAATCACATATAATTTGTAGGTACTGTGTTTGTTACCGATCGATTGATCGTCCGTGCTCGGGGCCATTCAATAGTCACTCATCAAGCTCAATGTCACTTAACGTCGAGAAGTCCGGGTAGATGGCTGGCTAATTGGCCCTTTTACGTCGGCTACCGAATAAAGCCCTGGTTGAAGGGATAATTAAACACTATAGAGCCTAACCCAGGCCACGGGCCCATCCACTATCCCACATCAGAAAACCAGTACCCGTTACCCGCTATTTTATCCAACACGCGTCCCAAAGGGCTCCATCCTAGCATGGATAGCTGTTTCACCCGTCCAAAAAGGTTTCATCCTAGGTATTATCCTAGGTATTCCATCCTAGGTAAAAGGTATTATCGTCCCACAGGGCTCCATCCCAGCACGGATAGCAGCAATCCCCGACCCAAAGGTCCGCATCCCATCCCTGCTATTAGCTGCTATCCCGTCCCACCGTTATCCTCGTTGTCCCAGCCCACACACTATCGAGCGCCTATTTACCACCCGGCCCGCGTTCTGTTGACGGTAATACTCAGGACGACGCCGTGGAACTAGCGCTAAGGGCAGGCTTTGGCGGCACGGTATTTGGATACCAGCTAGCGGTCTTGGGAGGGAAAGGGGTCAACTAGGGGAACCAGCTCATTAATTAGGAAACTGCAGATATGGAGTCATGACGTGACCCAGGACTTTTAAGAGGTAGAACTTATCAAAATATCTAATAAATATAAATGACTAAAACGAAATGTGAGCTGAGACGTCAACCAAACACAGAACCGCGTAGGTGTTTGTTTTCAAAAAGGATAATTTTTACGACCAATGTCCCATGTTAAGCCTTGTTTAAGCCCTTCAACTAATAACACCACTATGTATAACAAGTTACGAGACCATACTTCACGGCCAAACCCTTACCACCGTCGACGGCAAACCTTCTATCAAGCACCAAAAAGCAAAATTATAAAGCTGAAGCTAAAGTAAAGACCACAATCGCCAACTCCTATCCAGAACCATCTATCGAGCAGGAATAGATGGGGGTTGAGGTTGCCTTTATATTGAGGTGTAACATCCAGTAAGTATAAGTTGGTAGGGAACGGCAAAGCACATCATCCGCCACTAAATTCGTGCAAAAGTAATGAATGCAATACTTGATATTTATCAGGAAATCCGAAAGCCGTAGCATTGAGTGTTCCTTGGCGGGCGTTCCTTGGCTATTACCTTCTCTCACATTCGTCGTGGTATGACCTGCATCAGACGTAATTCGCAAAATGTGAGCAATGGGCAATTCTAGAGCCCACAAACGGCAATTTTCTTTCACTTTCAGCAATGATGGACTAATTTCACAGTTTATTAGCATGTACTCAGCCTTGGAGCAGTTTCATGGTTCATGTAACCGCAAACATCCGCGGCAATAAACCAAAACGATTCCATATGCCTCACACACCAAAAAGGAACTAATGTTCCAATTAGTGCTCAGTAACGCATTTTCGGCTATAGGAATATCTCTGCCTTGACCGCCGCTGCCAGGCACATTCAGCGCTCCGTCTCGTCTAATGCGCCACATTTGTCCCCTGAGTCGCCGGCGACATGCCAACCAGTAAAGCCCATCGGCGGATTGGTGGTCCGGAGACGGCCGGTGTACCGGGCCACCCCGACAGCCGGGACAGCCGGGACTAGCCCTGACGGCGCCGCACCGGGGCGGGGCCGAGCGCTACCCCTGACCGACCCGACCTCCCACCCATGACCGACTCAGACCTCCGAGCGACCCTGACCGACCCGACCCCCACCCCTAACCGACTCCCGACTACCACCCTGGCCGATTCTAAACATAACCGAGCCCGACCCAGACCGCCATCCCCTGCCCGACCCCCATCCCCTGAGTCCCTGACTTGACCTGACACGACTCGATCTCGAACCCGACCCTCACCAGTCTGCGCCAGTCCCGGTCCCTGCCTTATCCGACCAAAATCCGTCACAGATAGACCCTTAAAACGAAGGACAGGATCAAACAGAAACAGACACCCAGAAACCTAACTGATCCACCAGCCTGTCCAGATACCGCGGAACCAACATGGCTAGAGACAAAACCGACTAGCTTCGAGATTGAGCAGCCACACAAAACTGACTGCCAGGCAGAGAAACAAGACTGACACTTTCCTGCAGGCCAGAACATTCCAGCAAAGTCGACCCGTCGAACCCAAGGACTGTTTTAACGCGTCCTGCTTCTGGGATATGATTATGCAGGATATACTGCTTCCGAAATCGATGTCAAATGCCAGCAACGCCAACACCTCTGTGGGTCAGCACTGTCGACTCCTGAAGG